CTTATAGAGTATATAAATTATCTCTTCTTTTATTATTTTAGAGAATTATTAAATATTTTTAATTTTTATTTATAGCTATTATAGAATATAATATCTTTAAATTATTAACTTCTAATCTATAATAAGATTAACAGCTTATAATTATAGTTTCTTAAGAATAATAGATAATTTAGGTATTAAGATAATATAAAAGTATATATTTGCCTTCTCTATAATTCTTTTAGAATTAATAATATAGATCTCTATTTTAAAAAATCTATACTTTTAAATCTTATGCCTATTAATAGATTTAAAGTTTATATACTATTAGAAATCTAGGGGGATTTTATATTATATAGCTATATTTAAGCTAATATAGTATTAAGCTAAACTTAAATTAATAAAGGCCTTATTTTTAAATATACTATTAGATAGGTAGAGTTATATTAAAATATATAAAAACTCTTTACTTATTTTAAACCCTTTATTATAAAAGGCTATAATAATCTTAGGCTTTCTCCTTTTAAAAGAATCTTTTTTTTTTAGGTATAATTTAAATCTCTATATATAACCTCTTTTATTATAGTTAAAGCAGCGGCCTTTTTTTTAAGCTAATCCTATTTTACTAGTAATTTAAACTTCTTTTTTTAAGATTTATTTATTCTCTCGCGCTAGTTACTAATCTCCTTTCTCTTCTATCCTAAGATAGAGTCTTTTAATATACTTTATATTAGTTTATTTATATTTAGTATAGTAAGAAGGTTTAAGAATTTATTCTTCTTTTAGTTTATTTCCTAATTAATAACTAAAGATACTAATTAATTAAAATTAGTTAGAAGGTTTTAGTAGTTTAATAAGCCTATTTAAACTTTAAGTTATAATTTTATATAGAAAATATAAGATTAAATAATCCTATTATTATTAAATCCTTTATTTTAATTTAGCTTTATATAAGCTTATTTAAAATAATATAAAAAAGCTTTAGTAGTTTAGTTTAAATATTAAGTTAAGGTATAAAAGTAATTTATTATATTCTATCTTTAATAATATAGATTATTAAGTAAGTCTAATAACTAATCTTTAAATCTATTCTAGATTAGCATCTAAAAATTAAGATCCTCTTGCTAATAAATCTAAGATTAAGCTAGTTCTCTATCTAGTAAGGCTATAGCATAAATAACCTTCTTATTTTCTATCTTAAATAATAAAGTATTATAAGCCAGATATTTATCTATATACTAGTATTATTAATAATAGGTATTAAGTATAATAGCTTTATATCTTTATAATTTAGGCAGTTTAAGCCTTAATTACTTATTAATATAGATAGTAGTAAAAAGCTATAGAAGGTCTCTTTTTATTAATAGATTATTTTCTATTTAGGGTTAATCTCTCTCTAGGCCTATTAGAATATCTTCTAGGATTTATAAGTGTAAGGAACGGGGGTTCCTGGAGGTTGCTGACGAATTACTCCGCCAGCGATTATAGCGAGAGGGGTAGCAGCTTTGCGCACCTGGCTCGGAGAAGGGTCTACTGGTGAGACGAAGGGTTAACTGTTGTAATAAAGGGTCTAACTAATGTAACAAAGGGTCTACGCCGGAGGGTTCTAGTAGTAAAGAGTCTATACGAGTAAGGAAATAGTAGGGTATATGTTATATTAGAACGGATCGCTGGCTTCTAGTAAGACAGCGATCTGGAGCCTATTTATATTCTAAATCTCAAGCACTTCCCAGCTTCGTCTCATATGAATCCTGAAAGCGGGGAGAGTGGGGTTTGACTGATTACCTCGGTATCACGTTCAGATTCGGGGCTTCGCTGCAGTCCTGCGAGCTCATGCCCTAGCGGGGAGCTAGGGGCATGACAATAAGCTAACTTTAGCAATTAGTTATTATAAGCTAGGTTTAATAATCTCTAAACCCTTTAGAGTATATACTATAGGCTAAGAGCTAAGACTCTTATTTCTTAAGTTATAGGGTATATTAGTATAACTACTTATATTATTAAGTTAAGCAATTTAAACTATAAGGAATAGGAGTTCTTAAAGATTATTAATAAATTACTCTGCCTATAATTATAATAAGAGAAATAGTAGTTTTATATACTTAGCTTAGAAAAGGGTCTATTAATAAGATAAAGGATTAACTATTATAATAAAGGGTCTAACTGGTATAGAGAAGAGTTTATACTAAAGGATTCTAGTAGTAAAAAGTTTATATAAATAAAGAAATAGTAAAGTATATATTATATTAGAATAGATTATTAGCTTCTAGTAAAACAGCAATTTAGAGCCTATTTATATTCTAAATCTTAAGCACTTCCCGGCTTTATCTTATATAAATCCTAAAAGCAGGGAGAGCGGGGTTAACTAATTACCTTAGTATTACATTTAGATTCGGGGCTTCGCTGCAGTCCTGCGAGCTTATGCCCTAGCGAGGAGCTAGGGGCATAATATTAGATATGAAACGATTCAGGTTTAGGGCCCCCGGGGGCCCTAAACCTAAATCCTGTGAGTAAATTAAGTAGTTATATGATTAAAAAAATCCCTTTATTCTATGCTTTAAAGCAATTAGCCTTAAGACCTATATAATACTTATAATTTTAGTATTGTAGTAGTAATATGCCTTAGTATTCGCTTTAAGCTTCAGAATTTTGATATTTGCACTTATGGTCGTTGTGCGTAACCGTACCGGCTTGGCATAGCCAATAAGAGGACCTGAAAGTTAGCGGGTCCAGGAGGTTTTGATGTTCTCACAGATGGTTATTATGCGCAACTGTACCGACTTGGCATTTACTCTCAGCCAATAAGAGGCCTTAAATCCCCACAGCTTTCTGCACAGTTGGTTATATTGCATTAACGTAGAGCTCATCTGAGCAGATCTGATTGGCCTGACGCGCTTCGCGCTTAAGTTTAAAACATTTACTTAGATTACTTAAAGAGTGGCTAGCTAGGCGTTTAACTAACTACTTAGTGTGTTAGTGGTTGCCTTCTTGCCCCTTTTACTTATTAGTTATCAGTTATCAGTTACCCTATCCCTGTCCTATAGTGACATGCCCTGTCTTGTCCTCTCTTGGGGGTTTGGTTTACTACCTAGTATTAACTACGGAGGTGATGGCGAGTACCATAACTAACCTCACCTACCAACTAATTAACTCGTAAGACCCGGTTGTGGCGTGTCTTCAAAGCGTCGGAGGAAATTCCAATAACAATGGCCGCAACTGCTAATACACTTTCAACAAAGATGGATAGAAGAGTGATCGAGGCTCTCTTGCAAAGTTAGATCTCATCTCATCGAGGAAAGTTTTGGCAAGTGTACTCCGGTTGCGTTCATCTAGAACCCCGCCGGTCTGATGGGACACGTCCGGACATACTTCCCGCAATCGACTAGGTTATCTACTTTCTCTCCACCCGTGGCTTGGGTAGCATGGGCCTCGCGGGAAGCCTCCCCAGGACAAACGAGAAGGAATGGTGGTTATGAATCGTCTTCTTCTCCCCACTGGTTGCGCTAGGCTTGTCTTTCGTATAGTACAGCAACGAATACAACTTCGCAGCGCGCCGGCCCAACACACTTACAACCATCCCGCTTTCCCGGAGGAACGACCAAAAGCGTACTTGTTGTGACCTGGCACAGAGCAAATGCGTAGGAAAAGGGTCTCCAGCGGGCGTTCTCAAGAAGCAGAGATTCGAGTCTGGGCCCCGTTCTTCCGGAGCAGTCAGAATGGCAAAGGGACGCCAACATCGCGCTCGAGTAGACAAGAAACAGAAGGCAAGCCGAGAGTCAAGGTTAAATATTGGAAAAGGTAAAAAGAAAGGCGCAGTGCCAGAAGACGCGTGGTATGGTAGTAAGTAGCATGGATGATGATGTAAAAAACAGAAAACAGATAGAATTTGTTCAGACAGCCTCCCAGATATAAAACTCGCGGTCAATAAATGCCTTTGCTTTTCAAAGTTTTCCCTTGCAGAAGTCCTCCCATGCGGTCAAGTCAACTCCGGAATAGACGACCATATCGCGGAGGATCATCAAATTTTGACAGATAGCCACCCAAAGAATAAACGGCATAAAGATAAGACATAAGACATGCAATCAAGAAGAAGAGACAAAACGTGCGATCATAGAACCTAAGAAAATCCCTGACCATCGATCTGGGAAAAGTAGTTTGGAACAGCGACCAGACTCGGTCTCAACCAGTCTCGTCATAGCACAAACCAGTCCAGCCACAGATCGATTGTCACAAGCCCACTTTTATGCCATGCCCTCCTAATGCCAATCCCAATTCGCATGCATCTATATTGCTGATGCAAAACACTTCCATGGCGACTGAGTCGCGTCATGCCATCCGAAAACACTGGTCAAGAAGCCTCCCAAAAAGCACACACAAAAAAAAGCATCATCCCTGAAACACGACGGTTCCAGAGCCACCGCATATATCTTCGGGGACAAACGACGCCATCCGAGAATCCAGGTGGTCTCAGAAGATGAGGTATTGCCCACGAACCACGCAGATAGCGTGTAACGGGGACTCTAGGGTTCATCAACCGCAACGAAATCGCAAAATGAACAGAACTGTATTAGCGGGTCGCCCCTGGGTAGTTTATAGTGTTGCGTTCTCAATGATCTTAGAGGAGAAAAAAGAAAACAAGAAGAAAAAGAGCTAAACAGCAAAGAAATACTAGAGCAGAAATAGGGACGGGTAAGAGACGCAGAAAATGGAAATCCTTGCATGTGGGCCGGCGGGACAAGGAGTGCGACATTGCTGGTGAGATCGAGATCCTCAGGCCTCGGCCCATCCAACAACCACCCTACCCATCCACAAGCCAATTCGTGCAGTTCGTCTGTGTTTCCCGTAGCTTCGTATCAGGTCGGTTAACATGGTCTCGTTTCTTCCGTCCCGGAGCCAGGGAGAATGAGTCGGAAGCTCCAGCTCCCTTCCGGCATAATTGGAGCTCCTCTCCAGTGATCTCCGAAACTTTTTTTTTCTTTTTTTTTGTCAAAGGTAGGCGCCTCGAATTCGTGGCATGGTCATGTAAATCATGTGATTTCGTCGCTGATTTCCCCCGCTTTGGCGCTTATTGTTGCTACCTCACGCAATAATGGCAATCTCGCCAACTTCCAGTCGAAAGAACATGGCGGGATCTCATCAGCATTGCCAGTATAATCAACTGCACAAAGCACAAGATCTCTGTCTCGTGGAAGAACAGAGAAAAAAAAAAGACGTTAAAACACCCGCTACCCCTCCCACTAACCTCCTGAGACATCTTGTGACCAGCACAGTGACAGCCCCCAGGCTGATAGCGAGGACCAAAGAACGAGATTCACATCTGTAATCCCTCTATGGCGGGTATCGGGTCCCCAAATCAACTTCTCCACCGCTAATGATTCCACCAAGTCCCAAGCCGTCCCTATTTCTCCGGTTTCTTTGGTCTTTTCGCACAGGCTCAGGATATTGGCAGATGGTGAGTTTACTGGTTCAAGCCGCGGCGGTTCAGAGCGTTGAGCATATCACTATCGGTGCTCGAACGACCGCCTTGACTCTGGTCACCAGGATTCAACATATCACGTACGTTGAGACCCCCTCTTGAGCTGGCAGATCCACCGGGAGTCGAGCTCGGAGGCGGGGTCATGTTGGATTCTGTTGGAGGAGCGATCGGGTGAGCACCAGGATGTATGGGCGGATAAGGAGAGCTATGGGGTGAAGCAGAGTGGCGGCTATCATAGGCATATGCTGACTGAGGAGAGGCCCTGCGATCATGGGGTGGTGCTGGATAGTACGGGCTGGACTGGTAGCCCGGCGTCGACACGGCCGGAGACACAGGCGCGAGATTCGTAGGATCGGGATACTCGAAGCCAGAGCCAGAGCTGCGACGGCCGATTGGCGGTCTCTGCGAAAATGGTAAGAATTGGGAACCGGTGCGCGAGGGAATTGGCTCGTCAGTACGAAGGCATCGGGGACTCACCTGATCTTGCGGCAGAGCATGCGTGAGGGGGGGCGGCGCGGAGCGGTCATCCAGGTGTGGCGGACGACCATACGGCTGCTGATATAGTCCCTGCGGAGGAGGCAGTGTGGTATCGGGCTGAGGTTGCTGCTGTGGTGGAAGCGGCTGCCCGTGGGCTCCGTAGAGCATCACTCCATCTCCCGGGTATCCTCGACCAGCCCCTCTCTGGGTTTGATTTCGCAGGTGTGGGTAGGCAGCGTGGGCAGGTACGAAGGCTTGGGCTTGCGACGAGACCGGAGTGAACATGCACTCCTGGTTGAAACGAATGCAGTTGCTACAGCGTCCATCCTGCGAGCTTTCGAATCCCGAGCAACGGATCTGTGACACGACGAGAACGACTTAGCCTCCAATTGTGCCGGGGATCTTTGCGGCCGCGACTCTTTTCGATCTACATACCTTCCTTCTCCTACAGTATCGACACGCGATCGCAGTTCGTTGTCTCGGGGCAGCGGCTTGGTAGACCAGCTGGGGTGGCGGTGGAGGCTGGGCGTACATATCGGGAGGCCGTTGATATGCGCCCGGCGGGGGAGGCAGACGATATGGATCTTGGGGGCCCTGCATCTGGGGATGGATGGCGGCCATGTTGGGAGGTGGCGGATACGAGGGCGGCGGAGGGTACTGATACGCTTGAGCACCAGGACGTTCCTGCTCAGAGGTGGGAGGAGGATGATATGGCGAGGAGGAGTACTGGAAACATATATGCGGTCAGATTAGATGCGATGCCACCCAGCAGCAAGTGACGTTGATGAGAGAGTGATGGATTGAATGGATGGATGGAGAGATCGATCGAGGGAGCAGACAGGTGATCAGAAAGAAAGGCGAGATCCAAAGGTCAAAGGTAAGAGGAAGAAGAAGAAGAGGGGGGAAGCAAAAGATAAAAAAAGCCAAAAGGCGGAGAGAGGGGTGGTTGTGTATTAATATTGTATGTATGTAAGTATACTTACGGAGTACTGGGCAGACGAAGAATACGGTGGGTTCTCGTCGGGCTGACTGGTGTTCCACTGTTGCGGTGGATACTGTCCCTGTCGATTGGGGTCCGGGTACTCGTTGGACATTGGGGGTTTGGTGGCCGCGTGACGCCTGGCTGAGGAATGGAAAAGAGAGGAGGAGAAGAGAAGGGGGAAAAAAAAAGAGAGAGGAACGGGAAAGATGCAGGATGATGTGAGTGCGCGAGCCGTACCCGTCCAAGCAACAGGCAAGGAATGCTGACCGGGGGTCGCAGGAGGCCAAACACACGGTATTATCACCTAATCAGATTCTTTTCCAGCTCCCGTCGGGTGATTTGCAAGGCTAGCATAGCCTCGTGGGCGATGGAACCGAAAGCTGGTCTAACTCGACCGATCGAACGGAGGCGAACAAGACACAGCTCAGAAAACGAACAACGACGGGTGCCTCGGCGATATGACGTGAGGGCTGGGCGGAAAAGACCAGAAATAATAACTAAACCAGAGTGGATTCGGACGGCAAGACTTGCGTCTCCGGCAAGCGGCCACAGCGGGGATAGTCAGAGCAATAGTTCCCAGGCCCTGGGCAGTAGCGCATACGGGCGTCAGTATAGATCAAAGCACCAAGACGGGGCAATCCCAGGAGGCCTGAGTGGCACCAAACCCGCCTAGAGAGAGAGAGAAGGGGGGGAAAAAAGAGAGAAGACGAGAGAAGAACAGAGTAAGAGAGTAGTAGAGTAGTAAGTGAGTAAGTGTGTGTGAGAGAGAGAGAGAGAGAGGGGAACCAGCAAAAGTGTGTGGATGGTGGCGCAGGGAGGATTTTGGGGTAAGTGCAGTTTCAACCTCTTTGGATTGATGGCTTTTTTGTTTTGTTTTCTGGTCTGATTTGAAGAAGCAAAGTCGGGAAACTATGTGGTTTCTGTTTCTGTTTGTTTCTTTCTGCTTTTTCTTTTGGTTCTTTTTTCTTCTGCTGCTTCCCCCCAACCAACAACAGGAAACCTCCCCCGAGAAAAGAGCAATTAGCAGTTGAGTTGTTTTTTTCTCGTCTTTTCGTCCTTTGCCTTTCTTTTTTTTTTTTTACCTTTTCCAGAAAAGGAGAGAACTAGTGAGGGAATTGTTGGGCAATGGGCAGAAACGGGGAAAAACAAAAAAAAACAAAAAAAAAAAAAGAATTATCATATAATAAAATCAACGCTTTGGGCGGCGACGTCCTCAGGAATAGGGAAAGAAACGAAGTGCCAACGAGAGCCTCTCGTTGGCTGACAGGGCACACTCACGAAGACGGACGGTGTCTGGCAGGAACAGCTGAAAGAGGTAAAAACCGGAGCCCTGTTTGCAGCCAGGGAAAAAAAAAAAAAGAAAGAATGGGTCCCGTTCTAGGTTCGGAGGTGGACAGGATCGCACACGCGCGACACAGGGCAAGGGTCCACGGCTGGCGGAAAGCGGAAGGCGGGAAGACGAGGGTGGGAATCCTGCTAGGATAGGAAGGGTAAGAATCATAGGATAGGAATCGTGGGCAGGATGGAGATGAGTGGGTGGGAAAGAGGGAATCCGGTCATTAAGGGGGGTCGATGCGAAGTCGAAAAGGAACGGTCTGTGTTGCCAGACGACGCCAAACGACCCATGGACATGGACGGGGGCCCTTGGGATGGATCACGGTTCCATGGGGGGGATCAGCTGGAGACGCTTCGGGTTGGGCGCCGTTTGGGGAGGGCCGGATGGCGAAAAAAAGGGAGAACAAGAACCAGCAGGCGAGAGAGAGGGGGAAAAGCGCGAGATAGACAGAGACAGAGACAGACAGAGACACGACAAGACAAGACAGTCAAGAGCAGTCAAGAGGTTGCAGGTACGGGTCCGTAACGGGTTGCCCGTACGCCCCGTGACAGGGCTGGCCCCGACAGGTGGGTTAGCCTGTGGGTATCGGGTATCTTAGTACCGTCGTACTCTAGTCCTCGAGACTGCTGCACCCGTAACGGTACCAGATGTCCCCGTATGGCCAGCGTACTGATGCATCTCGGTATCGATACCGTACCGTCCCGACCCGCGTACCCTGTATCGCATCCCCATACCCTCGTATGTCCCCGTCCACATGCCTCTCTCTCTCTCTCAGTCCCTCCCTCACTCACCCTCCCCCCCTTCCTCCTCAGCTCAGGCCTGGAGAGAAGCAAGTGCCAAAGACAAAAAGAGAAGTAGAGTCCTCACCTGAAACGGGACGCCGTGTGGTCAGCGCCAGTAGCAGAGGCCTAGACGCCTCAAGATTTGGATGCTAGTCTCACGAGTACAAACCCAAACGAGGCAAGACAACGAACGCACGGAGAAGCGGTGCTCGGACGACGCGGCGGTGGTCAGATGGCTGCAGAGGCGGTGAGAGCGGCAAAGACAGGGGCCCGGCATGCAAGGATGGGCGAGCATATTGTTGTTATAAAGACCAGGAAGGTGACCAGCTGGCTTCGACCAACTGAACCAGACATCTTCTGGGGGGCCCACGGTCTCGTCCGTCTACCCTCCAGGAGGGGCCACGGCCCGCGAGAGAGGGACGCAAACCATGGATGCAGAAAATTTGGGTATTTGAGGCTATAATAACGCTCCAGATGATGACTCTGATTGCCTGGTCGTCACTCACTCTTTTTCATCCTGAGAAAGCCGGAAAAAATTAAATATCTACGTCACTCTTCCTGCGGTGTTGCGGTGTGCGCCCGGGCGTCGTTCCAGTCTCTCTCCTCTATAATGGGTACCAATATTACCTGTGTCCCTACCTGATGACGGCTTACGCTGGTGCACATGTTCCTGCAGTGACTCGACGCGCTTTTTCTTGGGAGAGGGGGGGAGGGGGCTTTTTGCTTGTGGTCTGTCTGACGCTCTCCAGTCTTCCTGTTGCCCGTTGGAAGCACTACGGGAAAGCGAACCACGGAATCATGCTCAAGGCCGATTATAGGTCCCAGCGACATTCTCCAATTCTCTGGCCGTCATATAGTGTACCAAACTCCGGAGTGCTGTCTCCCGCCGTTTTCTTTTCCCTTCTCTTTCTCTGGTAGCTTGACGCCTGCTCCCCCGGGTCACATTCTTCTACATGCCCTTTCTCCTGGCAACTTGGTGGCTGACAACCGCTCGAGTCTCTGGAGCCTCTCTGGACAGAGCTTGGATACAACAGCAGCGTCACGATGCAAGCAAGCGAGGGAGGAGAAAAAAAGAAAGAAAAAGCACAAGGGTAAAAACGGGTCGGTAGGTGCTAGCGGTCCCTAAGCTGGGGCGCTTCTCCATTTCCCGTATGTCCCTGCCGCTTGAGTTTTTTCTGCAGCCAGGGGAGCAGTCTTCAGCCGGGTCCGGCTCGCTGCATAGAGCGCGGTAGTGCCCGCGTGGCCGCAGACTGCCGCCCGGGACGCATTGGCGTTCTCAGCGACTATTGAGTCTTGACCATGGAGCCAGAGGTACAGGGTGCGGAGAGCAAGCCTCTTTCTAGCATAGTCTGACTGCTTCTGTATCTATGCCGCGGCATCTCACGTAGGAATCTAGACGCTGTTCAGACCCGTCAGCGACTCAGCGCTCTCTTGCGGTCTCTCACCTCGGCACGATTGAGGTCGGTCAGTTGTGCACAAGCATCTACCCGTTTAGTGGGTAGTTAGATAGTGTAACCATGTTTCGGCCCCCCGAGGAGTAAGCAGCAACGGATGATAGATTTTAGCATCGCACGGCCCTCTCATAGCTGTCTGCAGGAGTAGTAGTTACTACTACTAGGTCTTATAAGACTCTGCTAGTAGAACAATACCTCCCCAATCCCGTGTTGCTGTGGTAAGACATCTTGATATCGATGTCAGGACGATTCCATTACATCAAGACTCCTCTAAGCAGTCTAGGGATTGAAGATGATCGTAACGGCACCAAAGGTTCCTCTGTAGCACTGGTGCGTTGTTCTGGTAGACCAGATCTACAGGAGATATACCAGTAGTGGTATGTAGAGAGACCAAAGTGCCTGGCCCCTGCATTGAAGTCTTTTCACTATTAAGTAGACAATAATAATGACAGGGGCCGTATGACATACAAGGTACAGGCCACAGAAGACAGACGGGGAAATCCATCAGACGCGCGTACAGTCCAGCTTATGGATGGATATCAGGCGTGCTGTCGTCTCCTACGCTGAAGGAATTCCGCAGTGTCACGGTCGCTTAGCGATGATGGTGATGGTGAGAACACTCGGTTAGCGTGGTATGAAACAAGAAACAGGTGGATGCGATCTGTACCCCGCTGGCGACGAGTTTAGAAAATAAGCCAGAAACGGGCCGTCCTTGCAGGATGCAGAGATGCTTGGGTATAATCCCGGCTTCCATGGCGGGCTTGGATATTATGGTACCGCACATAGATAGCGATTCAGGATCGCTGCATGTCATCTTTCGCCTTGTCCATGTGGGGCATAGGCGAAAAACTGTTGCAGGTCAGGATCCGGCCCGCTGGATCTTTCCGCTGGCGCGAACGGAGGCGGTTCGGAGAGAGCTGAAGACGACTACGCGGACCGCTGCCCCGTTACGGGCAGGGAACGCTCCGAACCGTGGTTGTAGAAATGGTGATTGGTGCAACCGGAAGTTACCTGTTCGTTGGGTGAATCGTGTGGCGAGTGCAAGGGAGCTGGGAGCTGAAAGCTGAGGAAATGGCTTGAAAAGACGGAAAAAAGGGAACTGCTAAGAGCCATGGAATCAGTGAACTTTAATCGACTATGGCAACGAGCTTCGCGGATCCGGACTGCTTTCCAATAAAAAGGGGAAAAAAAGAAGAAAATTCAGAACAAAAGTTGGGTCGGTGAGGATCTAAAACGTACCTGGCATCCTTGGAGATCAAAATGGTAGAGTACGAGTACTGCCTGACAATGGTCTAGGCGGTGAGGGCAGAACAGGCGCCGTATCGTCGTAGTCTCAATAATGGAGCCCCAACCGAGGAACATATCTGAAAGAAAGTCGGCAGTTAGGATAGATCTTAGGGTTGATTATCCACGGATAGCGCCTTTGCAGATCA